TAAGGCCTTTTTTACTGCCTTCATCAACTCCGTCTCCATTATGTGCAATCTCTTGAACCTCGATTAGATCGCCATGTCTTTCTCTCAGTATTATGACCATGTTTTCTATTGACTTCGACTTAAAGCGTACTCTCACCAACCGTCATAGCTGGGACACAATATAATAATTATCCTGATATAACCTAAGCCAACGTCCAGAAAGACCTCCGCCAGAGAATTAATCATAAGAGTAAGTACATTGCCAGCGAGTTCCCCAAATCAAGGATGAGGAGCAAAACCTCGCGTCCTCACCCAACACCACTACTACCACTACCACCATCGCTAAGACCAGACTAACCTGGACAGAGCACCTATCTCAGCCGCCCCTTTCGCGCTTAGCTACATCAATGAATCTTTCTAATATCTCTCCCCACGTGAGCGAACCCATAATAGCCATGATTTATCACCTATTTCTATTTATCTGTCTCGGGAGTCGGAATTGTAAAGTCGACAAGTAAATGAGGAAATACAGCCAATTAAGTGGGATGGTATGGCGTTCTTAACTCACGTGGCTTTTATTAGGGTGAATAAAGGGGAGAGTTAGTCTACTCGAATTGATGCGCTATCTCTATGTACCTGACACAAAGACAAAAGGAAGACGGGCGCTATGTTGCGAAAGCGTCGCGACAAAGCTGTTTGCGGCTCGAGTTCCTTTGTCGAATATAACATGTGCATCTCATTGTCTCCCCCTCGTCTCATTGATCGATCCTATCGAGTATAACCTTTGTCCGTTTCGAATATACGCCCTCTCTAATAATGGGTCTACTGGAATTGCTCGTACGTTGTATATTCGTAGTTTCTTAAATACAAACCGGTCCTAATCCCATCTTACCGATGCTATACTCTTAACCTGGAGAAAGAAAAAGAGTGGACTTACCAGTGAAAATGAATAGATTCCGACCCCTGCGCGGCAATGCCCCGGGTGCGACCTTTTGGCTACGTTGGTCGCAGATTCTCAACCAAGGAACCGATAGTTCGTTCGCCCCCTTCCTTGGTAGCGACGAGGAATTACGACAGTACCTGGCCGATTTCGAAGGCGCCGATAAAGAAATCCATGTGTTGGACCTCATCCAGAAATCTCGAATAGCGCGATTCAACCCACCGACTCTGCAGATCCTCCTGAATTCCTTGGTCGATGGCCTCCCTCAGGCCATCCAGGATGAAGTTGGCTTGCACATGGGTGCAGACTATGCAGACCCCGACACAGGTCCAGTGATTGGCCAGCCCAGCTGGTTTTTGCAGGATGATGCCAGATTTCAGATTACCCTTGACTTGTTCGAGAAAGGTATACTCCCGCAACTTGATTCAGGGAACAAGCGGTTCGTTCTTTGGGTTGTCGACGCCGGAACGCCTCGAAGCTCATACTATGTAACAATCGTACTATGCTACGGACCATCAGATCCTTTGAAGCCAGATGTGTTCGACCGCGTCACCCACTGGGCCGTCATAGACGCTCGCGCTGTAGGGCAAAGATCTGAGGCTGCTGAGAGGACGGCGAATCGCGTACTTAACCTGCTGCCATATCAAGCCGAAGGCGCCATAAAACACGATGTTTGGCTACCGCCGCACCAAGGTGGACAGGGAGAGGACTTTGCATCCGGGTTAATAGCTTACTCTGTCGTGGAGCAGTTATTAGATCGCATCGGCACTATGTACTGCACTGATTTCGACATAGAGGCAATATTCGCACCTTTCCGCCCCTGGTTCAATCCCGACGCTGTCCGTGCCGAGGCGCTGGGACGAGCAGCGATGAAGACGATGGCGAGGCTAAATTGGAAAGGTCGCTTAGGTGTTTTTCCCATACAACCATTCGGAGATAGCCACTCTCCGTTGGGAGACAGGGAGGATTTGGCTCCCTTCCAGACCCTCCCAATAGCACATATGCTTCCCAAGACCAAGACCAAGACCGAGGACGCAGAAAGCACGGTGGACTCCCTATTCGGTGATGATGAAAATCAGAGCATCGCCACACAAACCGTTAATATCATTACAAGTCACGGTACCCAAACACATGCTCACGGAGTACCAAATGCGGGGATTGATTTACGTGACCTTGCCTGGAGCCCGACTCCGAGTCCTAGTCCCGCCTCTGAGCCTGGACAGGGAGAGGCTGAAGCCCACGGCTTCTTTGATATGTATTATGACCGCAAGCTACAAGACCTAAAGAAGGCGAAGTTAGAGGCCGAGGAAACCCGCGAAATGTGCCTAGAAGCGCAGGCATTCGCGGAGAAACTGGAGCACGACGTCTTGCAAGCCCCTATAAACAATATCCCCACGGCCTACGCAGTTGAAAGACTATTTTGGTTAAGTAAGTGAACAATTTCCGCGAAGTTTTCTTTCCTTCTTGCAATTAGTGAGGGATGGGCCATGATAATGACGATGATAATGAAGTAACACGTTACAAATTGCAATTGCTTACTCTAGGTGTTTGTAGTACAACGGGCTACAGAAAGGGCTCGGCATATTAAGAACCTCCGTGACTCTCTCAGCCGAAGGTATATCCTTGAGCTCGTACATTCGGCAGTAGTAGAGCAATTGAAGTCCGAAGAAGCCTGGCAAGAATTGGACGAGCTTTATATAGGGTACGAGAATATTTATGGTTCCGCCGAACGCATCCTCAATCGAGCTTATGCAGCTCGTCTTGAGGTCGCGCCAATTGATGAACTGGGCGAGCCAGTGATCAACAACAACTTCGAAGACATAGAAGACGGCGGCGGCGCTGGTGGTGGTGATGATGGTGATGGTGGGATCGAACTCATCCCGCCGTCAACGCCTTCAGGTTCTCGATCTAAAACACCGAAACAACGCAAATACACGAAGGCGGCCACGTCGGCATTAGATGAGGATGGTCAAGAGGCGTTTACGGTAGAAGTCAACACGGAAATGAGGTCGTGGAAGAGCCGGGGGGAGAAGAAGCTCCCAGAAAGGGCAGAGCGGCCGAAGAAGGCAGAGCCGAAGAGAGCGCCCAAGAAACCCAAGAAATCCAGAAGATAGGGAGAGAGGAATGATTTGCGGTATGCCGTCTTTTGTCAAGATGGCTTGTTCTGCTGCCGATGCCTGTGTTCGACGTCGAGAACGGCTTGGTGCCGGCGAGATATCTGGCGAACATGTATCGATCGATCGATGAGGATATTCGATGCCGAGGAGGTTTATCCCTTTGTGGTTCACTGTAGGCAGATTCAGCCTAATTGATCATGTATACATGGTGATCCTCAAGGTGGTTTATTGTATTGTATAGACACTCGACAAGTGATGATACCTGCCTAGGTATGTAGTTTATAGAAAGAAGGATTACTTGTATATCGCCGGTGCTGGAATCAATCTAGATGGTAACAAGGGGTAGAGAACTTAGTGAATGAGTGCTGTAGATACACAGATATTTTACCTCGAGAAGTACCAAAGATAGGCATTCTAGTACATGCTCATAGTGAGGGCGCCACAACAACATAGACTACCAATGAGATCTGGTAATCGAGCTAGGCAGCCACGACAAAGAGTTTCACGTATATCCCTTACCTTGACTACATGTACATAAATACACAAGTGCCTTCTCACCTGCTTCCAATTGCTCTTTCCTCACCATTGTCCTATTACTGCGTGCAAGCCACCGCACTCGCCCCCGACCTCGACAGCTACAGTCTGTTGCAATAGAAGCACGACCTCGGCAGTTTCCTATATCAGTCTCTCCCAAGCACCAGTGGCCACACCGTCATTCCTGCAGGCTGTCCAACAGCGCCTTCTCTACGCGGGGTATCATCTCATCATGTCTCTTGCCCCCGTGATAATACTAGCCGACCTGGGCAAGCTTTCGAAACTACCGCCAGAACTCATGCTCATGGTGATAGACGACCTCGACCTCCCCAGTGCCGCCAAGTTTTCCCAGGTCAACCGGCAAGCACAGTTCCTCATCTGGTCCGACGTAGACTACCGTTGGCTTCGAGCCTGTCTATTTTCAAGTCTAAATGCACGCCGCCATATGCCAGACAGTGTGAGGAAGTTCGACGCCGCCTACAAGTCTACCATAGGTACAGAGCACTGCTTTCTGCTTGAAGGAGTCAGCTATCACGCTCTAGCCCGTGCATGTGGCGATGATAGGTGCACCACGTGCGGTGACTACCTGGTGGGGGATTTGGACTTGAATGTTCACACGGGAGATCTTCTCTGTACCACCTGTTTGCAGTGGGCGCCGTGTTTGTCTTTTGGCAAGCATTTTGCTCGGGAGAAACATGATGTGGCGGAAAAGGAAAGGCCCTACCGCTTGCCCGATGGCCGGCTGACACGTAAGTTTATCTGATAATTCCCAATATGCTGGCCCTTACTTATTATGTCTCATACAAACTCAGTTGTTTCTACTTTCGTGCATTACGAATGAGATAGCTTTTGAGTATGCGCAATTGCCGAGCTCAATGGGAAATATGTGGACAGATTGGATTGGTGCTCCTCGTCTTTGGACAAGACGCCTTATGGGATGAAGTTAGAGACGAATCAGTACTTAGAGAGTAGACGTGGTCTCCAGATGTGCAGATATTGTGAAGACCTGAGAGCTATCGCCGGTCCAATCACATCATATTCTTGGATAGATATCGATTCCAAGTGCTGTATACCGCCCGCCATTTAGGGAGGCTAAGAGAATAATGTGTCTGTTACTTGAATTAAATTAGGGGTTGACATTTGTCATTCGTTATTAATTAAATAGGGAATCTCATATTTATTCTCCTAATATATTCTTTGAATCTTTTTTTGGATATTTCTTAGTACCACCACACCCACTATCCAATCAACAAGGACGGTTTTAGCGAGCGACGCACCCATAGAGAAAGAGATCTCGACCGTGTGGGCTTGTGGTTTAGTGGTATAATACTCCCTTAGCATGGGAGTGGTCCGGGGTTCGATTCCCCGCGAGTCCAGTCATGGAGGTTCAATCCCTCCTATTGATACCTACGTACCAATTACATGTTTACGGGAGTTTGGCCGAGTGGTTAAGGCGCTGTGTTTAGGTCATAGGCTTCGGCTTATACCGTAAATCCCGCAGTGGGAAACCGCGCAGGTTCGAATCCTGCAGCTCTCAAATATTTTTTTATACTTTTTTTTTCATTTTTAATGTTCTCTCTCGAAGAGATAGATTTCATACCCACATTCTTGGCATACATATAGCTAATCACTAACTCAACTGAGCTCTATGGTTTTTCGCCGGGTGGTGGGTGGTCCTGGTATTACGTAGAAGTAGTTGGTCATTCATGGCAGTGCGCACTACATACAACACTTCGTTTGGCATATGCTTACTGCATGCACGATAAGACCTTGTGTAGTAGCCTATTTCTCGTGTAGAAGACTTGGCATATTGTAAGAATAAGGATCTGAGTGAATTGTAGAGTCAAGACAGGCCATGACGCTTGTTCGGGTGCCGCTTACGGCTATGAAAAGGTTAATCGGAAGGACGTTTTTTATCTTGCGACAGAAAACATTCCTTTTTCTCCTCTACTGTGTATGACAATGGACTAGCCAGGGGCAACGAACCGAGTCGTTGCGCTGGAAAGTATGATAATCCTGGAACCCCAGATTCTTGACAGAACCTTGAGTCAAACCTCTCTCCTTCGGGACTTGATTGACTTTCGAAAGCCCGGGTGACTGGTGCCAATAATGCTTAGCAACAGTTAATCCTAGCGATCCTGGTCTAGTCATCGACAGGCCTCCTATTATACCTCGAGGTATCAGTTTTCTTCCTTCTCCCGAGGCTACCCGATGTTGTCATAGATTTTAAAGTCAGGCGTGATTTGAAGGCCTCGAGCTGTTTAGACATTGCGATCAGTTCCAACCTTGCTAGCCTTATTAGTACCTGATATGCTCTTGGAGAGGGGAAACTTCAATCGGGCAGGATCGAAAACCTACCAAGGCGAAGCTCCAGTGTCTGCACATTGTCAATATGAAACATGCGATGCACGGTGGTTGAAGAGTATGTGTCTTCCTTGAGTTGATATCTCGTATTCCAAGTCTAACTCAGTAAGACCATCAATTGCCAGAGGTCGTGAGGTCAACAAGGTAGATTGAATAACCATGTCAACTTACCCCCTTGCCTTCTTCGTTGCTATAGTCGGAACAGAAGCAGAGATGAACTTGTATAAAGAGCTTCGGTTGTACTCGATTGAGCCATCTTTTCACCACAATCTCTAAGGCTTAATCACCAGCTCTTTGGACATATATCTATCCAAACTATTATTGTAGCACCTCATTTTCTCTTCATCAACATGATTTCCCAAAACTCTCGTTCCCAACCCCCCGCCCCAGTTTCTGGGTCTATTGACCCATATGTGTTGTTCGAAGCACTCACTGGCCGGAAGCTGGAACGAACTTCTTTGCCTTCTCGATCAGCATCTGCCGAGGGTTACGATGATCTGAGCGACATTCGAGCATGCCGCCTTGAAAAGAAGGAGGGGCAGCGGGAGAGACCCGAGCCCGATCCTCAGCCCCAAGATGTCGCCGTTGGATGCATCAATCCTTTTGCTCTTGCTGAGAACATGATTGGCCATAAGATTGACCGACAGTCCCTAACCGCGATTCGAATCCTTCAGGATACCCTCCAGACCGACTACGAGGAGCTGTTTGACATGAAACACAACTCAGTCCTCTACGCCGGTCTGAAGCTGAACGAGCAAGAACGTATGGCAGAGAGACTTGAAGAGGAGGAGACAAAGATTCTGAAGGAGAAGGATCTGGTCACCCCAGACCTCACCCACCTTGATAAACTCGGTGACCTCGAAGGAATCGGCATGAGCGAGATTGGCAACCTCCGCATCAAACGAGCTGGTATTATGAACAACAAGCTCCATATTGTCCTGCATGCCAGCAGCATTGCCCGAACCGTGGGCAATCGGGAGGTGACGCAAACTATCAATGATTTCTGTCTGCCATTCCGACGTGAGAAGGAGAGGGAGCCGTTCACGCCTCCCAACAGCTCGTGGCGCGATGCTCGTGATGTTCTCATGATGCGCAACATGAGACGAGGCATGATCTCTGACTACAACACCCTCTTCGACTATGGCGGAGGATCTCGTGAGTTCCACACTATGCGCAAGTTCGATGATCCCATCCAGGGCGCCACGGGAAACAGCTGGTTCATCGCCGCGCTGTTCTCCGTCTACTGGGCGGACCCGGCCATGATCAACCGCCACACGATGATGCAAAACCATATGCACGATGGCGAGGACCGTCAGCAACAGCGCTTCAGGGTCAAATTCCATGACAAGGGTGGGCGCAACAACAACAAGACACAGGTCAGTGCGCTAGAGCTTTTGTCCCTCTTCCAGATTACTAACTCCAGAATTTTAAACAGGTGGTCGAAGTTGACTACCGAGTCCCCGTGAACAACTCTAGCGAGGACTTCGTGTACTGCCGCTCAAGCGACGGGCTGGCGCTCTGGCCATCGCTCTACGAGAAGGCATTCGCGAAGTGGATTCGAGAGGGTAACGCCAACCGAAAGCCTGTCATCGTCGGCAACAACGGTGAAAACGGAGAGCACGTCGACATCACCGAGACGTACCAGGGCGACCCGGTCAAGGCGATGGCGCAGATCAACGGGCGCGAGCCCGAGTACTACTTCACGGAGAAGCACGAACCGAGCGATCTCGTGGGACTCGTGCGCATGTGCAGCGTCAACCATCGCACCATCTGCCCCATGGTGGCGTGGACCTACGCCTGCAACAATGGCCGATACCGCGGATGCAACCTCGTCGCCAACCATGCCTACTCGGTGCTCGGATGGTCCTCCGTCGGCCAGGGCGACAAGCAGTACATCATCATCCGCAACCCGTGGGGTGTCACCGAGCCGCAGGGCCTCACCAGCTACGCTGGCATTTTGACCCGCGTCGAGCCCGAGTACTGGCGTCCTGCTTCGTTGCTCGATCGTGAGGGTGTCATGGCTGTCGAAGTCGGCGCTTTCAAGGAGTACTTTGCCTGCATGGGTGTTACCAAATAAATAGCCCTGGCTGGCTGACAATGTAACTGGGTGTGCTTACGCGGCAGCTTGTTTGGAGAACACTTGAAGTTTGAGATTGTCGTAATATCTTGTATATCTCTCTCCTGTATGGAATTTTCAGGGTGTTGAATTAGGTTTCTTATGTCTCGTCAGCATCCATCTTGGTTAGTCCGTCAATATGTGCTTAGCTGGCACCGTGATGGCAATTGGAAGATTGTATGTATTCGGATGGACCTATGGAGAGGGACTACGGGAGAAGTAGGAGAATACACGAAACATGTAATAGAAGTTGCTACCTAACTGCCTAATATGAATGAAAATATGCAGGTGCTAGCCGGCCGTGAGTCACCAGCCTGAAAACTCAGGCACATGCCATGACTGATTCTATTGTTGTAACTAGAAAGACTCTATGAGAAAGTACGAAGGACAGGGTGTAAGACTAGCCCCCACGGTGGTTACATGTTAATTATCCCTATTACTCTTACAATGTCATTTTCACTCACCACTTAGTATTCCTGCGGCTCCAGCAATCTGCTCAAGCAATTGACTACCGTGTACTTATTTCTTTAACTTTATCTACCGACACTGATCGAGTTCCGGCAGCATGGAAGCAACGGTATTGTAGCCACACATACGTATATCTTACATAACCGTCCTAGCTTTCACATGACACCTAGCAGCAAAACACAACATTATTTACCCACCAACCTAGCTGTAATAGCACGGCATTCGACAACGCTCGAGCAAAAAGACAATTCTCGCAACAACGAAGCGGAGAACGAAGCGGAGCAAAAGAGAAACGTCTGGTCCCAGTGAGGCTCGAACTCACGACTTTCGCATTACCAATGTTATAACGTGGTGGATCAGTTATACTATTAGTACGACACTCTAACCAACTGAGTTATGGGACCGATGGCCATTAGTGAGTGCATCGGTAGCGAAATGGGTCTCTTATTTTCGGTGGGTATGGCTAGAGCTCGCCCGCTATGGGGCCGGCTGGTTGGGTCGGAGATGCTATTGGACGCCGAAACATCGCGCTGCGGTCCTAGCGGTTTTGTATACTAGAATTAAATACTACTGTTGTCAATATTACTTGCTTGTTAGTTAAGTAAGATACGAATGCCTTGGTCCTGAGAATTCCATAGATTGCTTTACTATAGCTAGCTTTGTGTCCGACTACATGAGAGTTCTCATCTAGTCCAAGCTATTATTTCAAAAAGCTCTCTTGTATTAAGATATAGGTAGACTTCTCTAGACATATATGAGAGTCATATCAACCCCACTGAAATTTATCTCGACGAAGGTTTGAGCACCCTAACATACAACGTCCTTTGGCTAGAGACAGGAGAGCCAAAGGAGATCTGCTGAGTATCGGAATGCTCCGCCAGCCTCTTCAACAAGCTTCTGTATAAGGGCTTTGATCGACTCTATATCCGTGCTGTTTTTCGACAATATCTTTTTGTTGTCGTATACTCCCAATCCCCAGCTTGAGTCCCCTATTGGGAGGAAGTGCTTGTGTCTCCGAACATATCCAATATGACGGGCGTCAAAGAATTCGAGTCTTGGGCAGTTATCCGTCAACCAGTCGAATACGACGCTCCAGTCCTCGCCGCTTTCGTAAATCTTGACTTCTGCAAATTGAACTCGCCGAGCGACAGATTTCTCTGTTTCGCAGTGCCGTGCTGAAAGGAGATTGATTAATGTTGATGTTTTGGCGTACACGCGATTTAGATACAAATCACGAAGCCCTGACTAGTGTTAGTAATCTCCACATATAGGAAAGATCAAGGTTTAGGAGTAGCAAGAGCAGGATATGCCAACGTGGGTGATTCGTGGGCTGTAAGACATATTGATATATCATATAGGAAAGAACTCTCCGGAGACTAACCTCTGGAGTTCGATCCCGGCTTCCAGTTCAACCTTTCGAGGCTCAGATAATGTGTGCAATGGAAGCCCAAAGATTCAAGGTTATTGCAAGAAGTAATGAATTCCCAAACTTGGTTTTGATGAGTTCGGTTCGGATATTGAGCTTGCAGATTGCTTGGCGGGTAAGGAGAGTCCCCAACACTTGTTAGTGTGCCATCCTCTCTTGGATGCCTAGTCCCCTCAGCGTCCTTTTCATTGAAATGCTCAAAGCTTCCTCCAGGCCCGGTCTCGTCTACAACCTCAAGATATAAGTGTTTGAGTTGTGATTTCACGTTGTCTGATATTGCTGCGGCTAGTCTCCCGATGTCATGCGTCCCGGGAAGTGCTAGACGGAGGTCGACTAAGTGCTGAAAAGCATGAGAGCGTAGGACAAATAATATATTATCCATAGCTATGTCAAACCAGTCGACTTTATAACATTGGGCTGAGTAGACGCCCCCGTCCGGATCATAAGATGGAGGGCTACGAGATTGAGCACGAGGAAAGATGACACTCAATGCTCGAACATCTGTGAGATTGTCCATAAGTTTAACTAGTAGCTCATTTTCGTATTTTAGAATTTCTCGTTGAAATGGGTATAGAGTGGACATGGGATCATCTGTGTAAATACCGAGGAGGTCCTTTCCCTCATGACTAGAGGAAAATGTCAACACAGCACAAGCTAAAGATAGCATAATGGGAAAAGCATAGAAGGAGTTATGGGCGTAATCAATCATACCGGGCACGATCGATATCGTACTGTCTGTGGAATAATCTACACAAAGATGTGAGAGGGATAGTGAACCTATTAAACAGATTCTGAGTCGAGATATTGTCCACATAATTCGGGCATCGTGAATAAAGCTGAAGGGCTCGTTCCAAGCTGGCCATCTCGTGGATGTCCACGCAAAACCACTTGTATCGTCTCATTATTCTGCTTGCACTCGCATTCCAGCTGCGCGAAACTAGTCGAAGGCTATAGAGAAACCGAAGTGAAGGGTAAGTGAAACATGTATCCCATGGGTTATCCCTCGGGTCCTCTTGCAAGTTTGACCGATGTGGCGCATTATACTCGCAAGAAATGAATCGATCCCATTCTCTAGTTGGCTTATAATTTTTCACTTCGATCATGCCTGGTTGCCCGAAGCCGAAACGACGAATACCCCCGGCCCCGACCAAATAGCCAACAATCTAGATGGGGTCAATTTTTTTCTAGAGAGAGCTGCGCGACTAATCGGCTTTGTTTTATGGCACTCACCTGGTCCATGATCTCGGGTGGATATTCCATGGTGGACGATAACGCTGAAGCGCGACAGTTGTTGTACCGGGTGGTTTGGATGGGAAGTTTGATGATTTTAAAAGTGGTGTGCACTGTAGCAATTCACCCACTTATAACGGTTGGACCTGACAAACACTCATGTGCCATTACCATTTGCTAGTAGGTGTCAGGTGCCCTGACATTTTGCCCTGGTGTTACCTCTTCTATAACCAAGAGTGCACAAATTCCTAGGGTGCTTTCTCAAAGCACGCATCTATCTCCCTTTCCAGATACCTGTACAACACTGCCTATATATGTATCACCTACCAACCTCAAGGGAGAGGTGCCATGTAGTACACTGTCCTAAAGTAAAGTACCTTAGGTATATACTTAATTGCTCCCATATTCAACTCAAAACACAACTTAACCAATACACCCAATAATACGGGCGATTCTAATATCTGAATACTAATCAATGGTTATACAGTAATAACAATAAAACTAATAAAAATAGAAAGAAAGAAACCAACTTCTGCCTTGATAGTAATCACGATCTTTGGGACAAATTCATCTGTCGGGAGAGGTGAAGCTGTTAAAGACTGGACCAACACCATATGGCGGAGTGTAGCCTTATTAATAGAGATGAGGCTAGGGTGCTTTTTTTGTAGTGTCGAAGGTTGGCTAGTTTTTACCAGGCTGTGCCGCACACGTGTATTAGCTTCACTTGGGTGGTTATAACTAATGCCAAGTCTTAGGCCTGTCTACGTGTTATTAAAGTACTTGTATGCCATCAACGTATCATTGCTACTAATTACACTGCAGACCTGGCATTGGTAAAACGCTCTCGGTGTTGCAAAGACGCCATGCGCTGTTTATAATCACGGCTAGGTTACATTTAACATGCACAAACTCGTTTATATGAATATACTCACAACTTTCATGAGAGTAGAACGTAGAATAAGTCATTTGCTAAATCAACTGAAATGGAATATGCTCGTGATTTCGGCTGCTGCCGAGGGCTGATGATTCGAGCTGGCTAATCTCACCACAACTAGGCTTATTTTTTTTTTTTTTTGGCCCTTATTCTTACTCCAAACCAAAGTGACTCTGGATAGAGATATCATGTGAGATGTAAGACCTATTATTAAATTTCACATTACCCAACTACTTAGTATGTGATGTAAAGATGGGTACTACAATGTGAGATGCGAATAGGATAATATAAGTCGATGTGGCATCGACTGACGTAAGAATTTCTTGGCTGTGCGACATCGGAGGGGAGCGGTATGTAATCTCAGCCACTGAGCCATAGCGCACTCTAGGTGGCTGTACCTCCTGTGCTGTACAGGTGCACTTGTGCAGTGTGCACCGCGGCGGCTGGACCCGGCTCACTGAGCCAAGTACATACCTAGGCACCTACCGTACATACCTCTTAGTAGACACTGGCCAAGCTTCTTCAACATTCGGAGATCGCCCCCCTGCAGCTGTTGACGCACAACATCACCCATTCGCATGATTGGGTATTCCTGTCTAACTTCGCCTCGGTGTTATGTCCAACATATACGCATATTGCTATGGTGTAATAGTGAATGACTGGCAGATGGATGTTGACTCCCTCGTAATCCGACGCATAGCGAGAGAGACATCCTCTCGGCTCGGCTCTAGTCGATCATCCGTGAGCATTGAGCATTTCAGTTGAACAAAGGTTGCTTCATCAGCGGTCTACCGAATGTGACGGAATACAGTTCGCCTACAGCACCATGAATGATGTGACTGTGAGCATCCAGATGGCGAGACACGATTTGTCACAGCTGATTGTCAGAAAACAGGAGATGTCAACGATACCTGCGTGTTACCAGGCACGTATCTGTTCTGCATCCTATTTTGTGTCTGTACCTGAGTGGTGTTGCATCGATCTCATCATTCTTGCACCATCTATACACATACCTGCCTAGTCACCACCCGTCTGGCCACTTACGCCTACATAGTAATGAGCTAACTCCCGGACCGCGCAGACAGCGCCGTGGACGACGGCCCTCATTGGCTCGCGCGGCGGTCTTGAGGCGGCGGCTTGGCCGTGGCCCTACCGGGTAGTCCAGCGTCTGGCCAGGGGCAAACTATGGGGTAATAGTTATTCTATGGAAAACTTTTGTCTTGGTCCCATGATCCTCTCTCTAAGAACCGATTTCGTAACAACAACTCTTTGTTTGCTAAAATTTTCTTTAGCTTCGACATCACGCGGCTACCCCAGATTCCTTTCACTGCCGTTAACTGCTAAGCGCCCTTACTATCGAGTACCGTAGCCTCCACTGCAATTTTTTTCTCTTAATTTTTTTCTCCTCACTCGCCAGCCGGAGCGTCTGGTTGATGGTGTCATGGCCACCCCGTGGCAACAATTCTGATCACCCATTCGTCGCGTTTCGGCGTCCTAGCAAATTCTACCACGCTGTAAATTTCTCTAGCTAGGTTCTTGCCTGTCCTGTTAGTACAGTGTACTTGCACGTCTTGTGACGCCTTGTGTCCTGGCCAAGCGAACCGGTCCTGCTTGGGGCAGATCCGTTTTTGGAACCTTGGAACCTTCGTGACTGTGTTGGACAGCATGTTGTAACCTTGACAAAGAGAATCCACCCCTGGCACTCCGGGGCAAAGTTTCACGATGCTATATATTAAGCCCCCTCCCTTCCAACCAGGTAGGTCTTTCTTTCTGTCACTAGAGTACGAAGTAAACAAACCCGTAATCTATCGGCG